TCTCTGGCCGGGCCGCCGCCTGAGTGCTTGTGCGGTCGCTGGAGGGTTCAGCGGTGCCGCAGTGTGGTGACCGGAGAGTCACCGTGGTTGCTAAAGACTTCCGAGGATCACATATTAAATATATCGCGGGCGAGATCTGAACAGCATCGCAAAACCTGGATTAAATCGGTTGGCGGTAAGGTCTGGGAACGCGTACGCTCTGGAAGTCAGCAGTCGGAAGGTGGTTGTGGGGCAGAAACCGAAGCGGCGGTCAGTTTCCCGTGGGCACGAGCACAGGTGGGATTGTCAGCTGCAGCTGACGGTGAGGATTCCGGTCACCTGCCTTGCCGGGGAGCCTCCGCTCACGGGAGACAAGCCGCTTGATGCCTTCGCTTCCCTTGCCGTGGCCAACGCTGATCTTACCGCTGGAAGTCACTCTGGTGCCTGGTTCAAGTTCTCACGGAAGTCCCTGGGGCTCTTCTGGCCCTCGGGTCCTCGCGTTCTGTCTCTCCTGCTAAACCTCTCCCTTCTCCCGTGTTTTACAGAATTACTTTCCCAGCAAGCAGGACATCCTGCTGGCGCGGAAGGCCACCAAGGGCATTGTGGAACACGACTTTGTCATTAAAAAAATCCCTTTTAAGATGGTGGACGTGGGCGGCCAGAGGTCCCAGCGCCAGAAGTGGTTCCAGTGCTTCGACGGCATCACGTCCATCCTGTTCATGGTGTCGTCCAGCGAGTACGACCAGGTGCTCATGGAGGACAGGCGCACCAACCGGCTGCTGGAGGCCATGAGCATCTTCGAGACCATAGTCAACAACAAACTCTTCTTCAACGTCTCCATAATCCTTTTCCTCAACAAGACGGACCTCCTGGTGGAGAAGGTCAAGACCGTCAGCATCAAGAAGCACTTCCCGGACTTCAAGGGCGACCCCCACAGGCTGGAGGACGTGCAGCGCTACCTGGTCCAGTGCTTCGACCGCAAGAGACGCAACCGCACCAAGCCCCTGTTTCACCACTTCACCACCGCCATAGACACGGAGAACATCCGCTTCGTGTTTCACGCTGTGAAGGACACCATCCTGCAGGAGAACCTGAAGGACATCATGCTGCAGTGAGCGAGGGCGCCCCCCCGCCCCCCGCCGCCTTCCGCCACCGCCACCGCGGCCACCGGCCAGACCTCCCTGGGCCCGGGGTGGGCCTCCCGGGTCTGCGCCGCCGCGCCCGCCACGCCGCCACGCTCCAGGCCCGGGGCCGCGGACACTCGGACGATAGCTACTGAACCCGGGGCGTAGTCAAACTACTGAGAATCCGAGGGGTCGCTCTGCCATCGGTTCGTGACACCTGGTAACACCGCTCCCTCTCTCTTCACAGAAACCGAATTCCTTTCCTGACACAGTTTCATGAGGACTGTGTGCGCGGGGTGGGGGTGGGGGGTGGGGAGGGGAACGTGCACATGCTGCGCACACTCGGGAATGACCAGGACACAAACCGGCCGGCCTCGCGGGTGGCTCTTCTCTCTCCCCCGCCAGTCTTCCGTGAGAGACACCAACCCGAGAGCTTTGCCTGACGGTGGTTTGCGGCAGATCGGGGGTCTCCGCGCCCCCTCCCAGAGCAAGCACGTTGCCTTTCAAAACCCCGGTGCCGGCTCGAGGGACCCTGGTCCAGGCGCCCTAGATGAGGCCGGGGGCCCCGCGCTGGAGGGTGGGAGCGGGCTCGCCTTAACGCCACACGGCCGGTGCTGGTGATCCGCCCCGCCCTGCTCTGCCCGTGACCTCTGTCCTCCGGTCACCTTCCGATACCTGCACGCGGCCGCGCCCAGGCTCCCTTCCCTTGGAAGGTGGGAGAGCGCTTCCTGCTCCCCTCGGGACTCCCGAACACCGGTAGGATTCCTGGCGGAGCTGCCTGGTGAGTCCACCCGCTGACCTTTCAGGAAGCCCAGACTCTGGAGCCGGAGTCCGAGTTTCTGCCAACTGCTGCCACCTTGATGCCTTTGGACCGGGACCTGCTCCCGGCTCCACTCGGACCTTCCCGCGCTCACCAAGGTCTCCTCGTCAATGTGCACATGTCACAAGCGATCACTACCGGACGTGGCTCTCTTCTGGGAGAAGCCAGGAAGGTCTGTCCAGGCCCCCGGGCTTGGACATGGCATATCTCCTCCCCCCCCCCCCCCCCCCCCCCCGCCGTGCCCCTACCCACTCACCTTTGCACCGGTGTCTCCCGCTGGCTGTCAAATACACTGCGTCCCAAGCTGGTCCCGCCGTGCGTTCCTCTGATAGAAACGTCTGGTGTGTCAGGACTTTTCCCAGTATTTAGAAGGAAACAGGAAGCTTCCTCTGACTGGCACCACACAGTCACTGTGGCTGAGTAGCACCCGCGAGGCCCCCGTCCCGAGGCTGCCCTGCTCCCGATCCTGTGTCCCTTTTGCGTCAATCCTGGATCGTTTCCAGCAATCTTGTGGCCTGTGCTGACCCAGGAGGAAGGACAGCAGGACCTGCTTCTGACTTGTCCTTGTCATCAGTGTTCTCAGTGAGGAGACCACAGGAAACTCCGTCTCTCTCCCTCTCCTTCTCTCTCCCTCTCCCCCTCTCTCCCCCTCTCTCCCCCTCCCTCCCTCTCTCTCCCTCTCCCTCCCTCTCCCTCCCTCTCTCGGTGCTCAAGGCTTTGTGTCCATGTTTGTTAGGGTTTGTGACTTTTTTGGCTGGAAAAAAAAATTGCTGTTTTTGCACTGCTTCCTGGGGCTCCTCATGAACTGAAGGATGTGACCCAGGGTCAGTGCCGATGACCGTGGCTTAAAGGAAAAGGAGCCGTCTTGGCAGGCTCCCTGGGACGGTCTGGGGTCCTTTCACGTGGCCGCAGGGACCCACCGCCCGGTTCCCAGTGTGGTGGGCTCTCCTCGCCCGTCACTGGGGGACCTCCGCAGCGGCCGCTTGCCAGTGTGGGAGCCACCCCGGCCCCTGGCACCAGCCGGGCGTGCACAGGGTGCTCCTGCCCCTTTACCCGGCTCACCGGAAGCGCAGGGGGTGGGGCTGTGCAGAGCTGCCTAGAAGTCAGGGAGGGCGCCAGGCCTGGGTCCCTGACCCGCAGGGCCCCAGCCTCCCATGTCTTCCCGGGCCCGGGCTTCCGCTCTTGCTGACCTCGGGGCACGTGGGGAGGTCTCTAAAGGCCCCGGTTCCAAGTTCAGGGCTTCGAGGGGCATCGGAGAAGACACTGTTTGCAAGGCTCAACTAAAACCATTCACGGCTTTCCTACACATAGACTAGTCGTTTTTGTCTCCAAAACCTTCGGCTTTTGTATTTTTTTAATGACACTGTTATCCTTGATTATTGTCTTTTTTTTTGAGTTGTTGGAGAAGCAGGAGATAGTCGTGCCTCATTCTGTTATTGCAAAAATGTAACAATAAACTTCCTCAAAATAAGGTCTTTTCTCCGTGGTTACGCTGTTTACCTAGAAGGACACGTGTAGGTTTTTCCCTGAAACACTCCTCTGTCTGTAGAGAAAGGGTCTTAAAAGATAATGTGTTCTAACCTATGTAATTTATAGAGATGTCTAGTATTCCTGCTCTTGTGACTTTAGTTACTTCTGGGAAAAAGAAAAATAAATCCAAGATCCAAAATCATCTCAAAACACAATGATTAGTTACGGTCATGACCGCCTCACTTGGGCGTCCCGAGGCCAGGCCGACCCGGGCTGGGCGGGACTCCCCTGATGCACGTGCCTACGGGACAGGGACAGCCGGGCAATGGCTCACATTCACGCGTGGCCACGTTAGCCCGGGCCGGAGGGTCTGGTGTGAGGACGACCACCTTCGCCCTCCGGGCGTTCGTTACGGCTGTCCTCCGCATTCAGAGCCCAGAGCGCAACAACGCCAATGCTAATTGTACTTCAAGTTTCATTATTTGATAATCGGCTTTTATTTCCAAGACACAACTTCAAAGCCAACCAAAGTGGCTTGTGCACAGAGACGTGTGCGTGTGTGCGCGCAGGGACCTCACATGGTGCGAGTGAGGCCCTGAGTGCCTGTCTGAGAACCCCTGGACCACCTACAGGTGGACGCTTGGCGCGGCCTGAGCCCTGTAACCAGAGGGCGCCAGGGGGACGGGCAGGAGGGTGTTGGTTCCGCGGCCATGACCCCCACGGTTTTGGCTCCAGCCACAGAATGAAGAAACCTCCCGCCGGAGTGATGAGTGATGCCCAGTCGTGGGCACGCTTTGTCACAGGACTGTCCTCCGGAAGGAGGAACCGGGTGCTGTCCAGCGGCCGTGGCCCGGGTAGGCGCCACAGCACCCGGTTATGCGGGACGGTGGGAGCCCCTCTGCCGAAATGCCGGCTGGGAGCCTGCCGCGTGGTCAGTCACCCGCGGCGGTGGGCCAAGCTCTTTGTGTCCCAGCGTCAACCCTTGTAACCGGGAGGAAGCAGTGATTCTCTGCGCTGGCGCCACGGTCAGAAGCCCCGGCCCAGCCCTCCCTGCGGGGCCTGCCCGGCAGGGACCCCATCTGTGCAGAGTCCCGAGCTCCTGGCCATCTCGCGTGCATCCGGGGCTCCAAGCCACCGGACAGATCAGCCGTACTGGAGGCCTTCTCCCGGGCTGCGTCCCGTGTCCCCGTGCGGCTAACCTCGCTGTGACCAGCAGCCCACCTCTAGAGGAAGCCACGGCAGTGGGCGGGCTGCTCTGGAGAGCGAGGGTGGCCGCGCCTTTCCCCGCAGTGGACAACCTCCCCCGCCCTGCGGCCCGTCTTCTCCACGAGGTACGTCACGTGCGCTCGGCAGCCTCCTTCTGGAATGATCCGTGGGGCTCGCGTGTGTGGTGCCATGTTTCTCTGACTGGGCATCGGGGCTGCCGGTCCCAGTCGGGAGGCGGTGCTGGGTCCGCAGCTTGGGGGTGCCGACGGCCCCCCGTGTGAGGCCGTTCCTGAGGCACTGCCGGGCCCTGACGAGAAAGCCGTCGGGTCCCCCGAGGAAGGAGCTATCTCTCGCCGTCTTCTGCTGGGGAAGGACTTCAGGGCTCTCGAAGCTTGGAGACTGGTAAGCTCAGTAGGGTGTGTTAGAACAGGTGGGTGTGATCTCCGCACCTCGCTGTCCTCTCCAGGTGGAAACGTGCTAGAGAAGGTGACAGGTTACTCCCAGGGGCCCTTCTGTCGCCCGGCTTCCCTCTGCTTCACATCCACGCGGCTCCTTGGAGGCGCCTGCCCAGCCCTGACCATGGTGACCTCGCCTGGGAGCCGCACCCAAAGCCCCCGGGGCTGTTAGAGCTGCATTTTGCAAGTTCGGGGCTTTCCCTAATCCAAGATTGCTGAACTGGTTCCGGGAGGGCTGAGCTTTCCCAAGGCTGTAATCCCAGATCAGGAACAGACAGCTTCTCAAATATCCCGGCAGGTGGACCTTCCCAGAGATTGGTGTCCGTTGTGTTGGAGGGTGGGAATGGGGTGGCACGCAGGCCCTGGGGTTCCCGCCCGGAAAGAGACCACAGAGGGCAGTGGGCTGTCCTAGCCGATGGGAGTAGGGGACAGCTAGGACGGGGAGGGGTGCTCTCGGGTCTGACCCTGACCTGCGGCGGCTCCTCCCCCTTGGATCTTCCCAGTTTTCGGCAGAACATCCTAAAATGTCATCGTGGGAGTCTTAGCAGGGACCTGTAGACTTCACACCTGGCTCTCAATGAACACAGCTCAACCAGAAAATGAGGTTATTTTCAAGTCGGTTATAGACATAGTTGTTTCTTTTCAGAGGGTTTTCTTTTTTATGTGCGTGTAACGTGAACCCAAGTGAAACACTAGAGCAGCTGCCCTGGGGTTTCTGAAGGAGCCCGAGTTTCCTCTCAGGCCCATGGGTAAGCGAGTAGCCACCCTGCAGGTGAGGAGGGACCAGCCGTGCCACGGGGCGACCCTGAGCCACAGCGATCGGAGGGCCTCCCTCCTCTAGCCGGGTCACCTTGTCATTAACCGTGAATTCACTTGACGTTTTGTTTGTGAAAGCTGATGTGTTTCCTCCGAGGGCGCGTGCTCCCGGCTGTCTGCAGCCCAGCTGGAGTTTCCCTGTGGAACAGGACTTGCGCGAGGGCCTGGGTCCACACGGCCCCCGTGTCATCTTGTAAGGTGGCGCTCAAGTCGGCTGCAGGGCGATGAAGACCTTGAGCCCCTCAGATGGGAACGCGTACTCTGAGCCCAGTTCTGTCACTTTCTGGCACCAGTGCAGGCGGTTTGCCTCTCCCGGCTGACGTCAGAGTGACCGGCAGGAAGGAAGAGGGACAGCGGGGGTGTGGGCAGACCCTGCTTTGTGACCTATAGTCTCTGTCCTGAAGCCACGGCCAGAGACCGTCTGTCCTGCCGCCGATGGTCCGGGAGCACTTGGGGGCGGCACATACACCCGGCTGTGCCCCCTGCTCCATCCAGGAAGTGACCCCTGCGGAAGCCCCCACAGCACCACCCTTCACGGTGCCCTGGGAAACAGGTCAGTGCCAGCCGTCGACAGGAAGCTCTCGGTCACTGGGAGCCTTCAGACCAGCCCGAGGTTCTCTGGGGCTCCCCGACTGGGCCACGCCGTCAGGGGGACGCCTGGGGGAGCCGCACACCTTTCCCGGACCCGCCTGCAGCAGGTGGGTGGAGGTCTCGCCGGCCGGTCTGTGGGTGGCGGGTGGAGGCATGGGGGGGACCTCCCGCGGGCAGTCCGTGGCAGCTGTGGCCGTGTTCTCCATCGTCTGTCCTGTTCGGGGTTGAGATCTTATTGGACTCTCAACCGAGCCTGCTTACAAAGAAATTTAAAACGGCTCTCTGGGGCGCCTGGGTGGCGCAGTCGGTTAAGTGTCCGACTTCAGCCAGGTCACGATCTCGCGGTCTGTGAGTTGGAGCCCCACGTCAGGCTCTGGGCTGATGGCTCAGAGCCTGGAGCCTGTTTCCGATTCTGTGTCTCCCTCTCTCTCTGCCCCTCCCCCATTCATGCTCTGTCTCTCTGTGTCCCAAAAATAAATAAACGTTAAAAAAAAAAATTAAAAAAAAAAAAAAACGGCTCTCTGGAGGCTGTCCGTCTCTAGAACCTTCGCGAATACCTTTGGACCTTGTTCAGATTGGCAGGTTGTCCCGTGACACAGTACAGCGTTACGTGGCCAGCCGCCCCATGGTTGACCCTGTGCCCCGCGAGCGCCCTACCAGTGCCCCCCGCGTGGCCCCCTTGCTGCGGCCACTCCCGCCACTGAGCCAGCGCAGAGGACGCTGCAGGAGGCCGGGGCTGCCGTGACATTCTCGCTGCAGCGTTCGCTTGAAGACACCAGCTCTGAGCCCTTCCGGGGTCGTTACACACTGAAGGAAGCCCCAGGATGACAGCCACAGGCTCCGTCACGGGCACCGCCGTGAAAGGGCCACGCCGAGCCCGCCCACAGAGGTCCTGGGACAGGCCTCCGTCTGTGAAGACGTGCACCGGGTTAAAATCCTTACCGTGAGGTGTGAAAACGCCCTGTGCGGCTCCGGTGGTGGGCGTAGCACGTTCAGCGTATGTGGCTTTTCTGAGTGTGTTCACGTTTGCCTTGAATGACGTTTGTTTTCCTGGCATGTTGCATCCGCTGGGCCCCCCCCCCCCCCCCCCCCCCCCCCTGCTGCCTGCGGCCGCCGCGTGTAACATGTTTAGGATGGAGGGGGCCGTGTGGCCGGGGAACCCACAGTGCGTGTTTAGCGGGGCATCCACAGGCCGCCTGGGCCAAACTGTACTTTCCAGAACCCCGGGCCCCCTCGTGGTTTTGCTGTGGATGAAGCGTGCCTGTCTCGTGCCCGTCCTTCGCCTCCGTAACCCCGGCCCTTCCCCGCTGGCCCTTCGTCCTGCAGGGTGCTGGCTCCCCTGGCAGGAACGCCTCGTACGGCCGGGGCTCCCCCCACGGCACACCGCCATCTTCACCCCTGCCCTTCCACGGGCAGACTTGCTGCCCGGATGGGAGGTGAGCGGGCCGCGGGTGACCGCATTGAACCTCTGGTGTCCAGGCAGAAAAGACGATGTGGGGCACATTAGTGCGAATAGAAATAACGACCCCACCCCCCACCCCAAAAAACGAAACTAGCCTTTTGTTTTCATTCTGTGATTTCATAAAGCATCAACCTTGACCCCAGAAAGCTTGGAAACAGGTACTGTGCATTTAGGAACTGAGTCGGTTTGGTAAGTTGGATTTTTCAACCCCGCCGGCAGGGATATTATGAACGTAGAGGTTCCTCGAGGGCGTGTGTGTGGCCAAGGGGACCAGACCCTCCAGGCCTGCCCACGTGGGCGAGGGCCAGAGCCCCTCGGACACCCAGGGCCGTGTGCACCTGCCACCCTCACGGCCGGGCGGGCCTCCCGCCTTCTAGCAGGAGGGCACGCCTCCTGGATTCCAAGGGTGGGTGTCAGGTGGACCTCACCCTCTGCCCGCAAGGCCTTTTCTTCATTCAGGTTGACAGCATTTATTTATTTGAGAACGATAATGTAACACAGAAGTGGTTCAGGAAATTTGAACTACATGGAGTTTTCCCCGCATGGCACAGTTGTCCGGAGCCTCGGCACAGAGATGCCTACGTTCAGGTTGTATGTTTCCCCTTGGCTTCGGGGCTTTTAAAAATAGGAATGATGGCACCCGGCTGGCTTAGTCGAGAACACCACTCTTGGGGGTTGGGAGTTCCAGGCCCACGTTGGGCAAGGAGACTGCTTAAATACAAAATCTTTAAAAAAAAAAAAAAAAAAAACCACAAACAGTGCCCATCAAGCAGCTTAATCTGGTTGTGACTGGAGCGGATGTAATCTGGACGAATTTGGTGCCATTGAGAGAGGGCTCCTGGGGACGGGGCCATGGGCTGCAGGGCTCGGGACCCATGACAAGCTGGTGCCGGACCGACAGACAGAGCTCCACCTCCCGAGCCCTGCAGGGAGAAGCCGGAGCAGGGGAGGGCAGGCCCGAGGGCAGAGTGAACGAGCGGTAGCGCTGTGGGGCCTCTGCCTCCCGTCCCACTAGGGCTGCCGCGTGCCAGCCAGGATGCCACTGTCCCACCTTCGGTGAAGTGTCTCCAGTGGGGTGTTTGGGGGGAGCACCCAGGTCACTCCCAAGGGATGTAGGTAGAACGTGGCTGAGGCCCGTGTGTCCCTCCCTGTATTTTTCCTGCTTGCACACTTAGGCCAAGTGGACGGAGGATGGTGTGTTCCTGCCTTTGACATTAGGCGGCTCCTTTCTGCAGGCTCAGGACCCCACACGGTGCTCTCGCGCTCCTCCTGCGACCCCGTGCGTCCCAGCTCTGGCCCCCCGGCTTCTGTGACCCGCCTATCACATGCAGGTCCCAGGAGCGTTCCCACGGGCGGGCCGAGGGACGAAGGCAGCAGGCCCACCGACGGGTCCCCGGTGGGAGGCCACATCCACGAGGAAAGGTCACAAACGGTCCAGCTGACAGCTTACTCTGACCTGGTGTGGCGAGAACCAGGAGGTCAGCTTCTGTTGCTGCAAGTCTGAAGGTGGGAAATCAAAGTGATGCCAGCCTCAGACGGAATCAGGTGCCCCGGGAGCCCTCTGCTTTGTCGGCCTGCTGTGGCGGCCGGTGAGCGTGTGCCCGCTTGTGCTGCGGCGGCCCCGAGCTCGTGAGCAACGCGCAGCTCCGTGGCCGGCCCCGCTGACCTCAGGCCAGTGAGACACCCCTTACCCGGACTCACAGACATGGGGGAGCAGTGCCGTGAAGCGTGTCCCAGGCACCCGGGAGGAAGCCGTGTCGGCCGTGGCCAGCCGAGGAAGTGGCCGGAGGGAGGGGACAGCGCCCGAGAAGCGGGAGCAGTCAGCGTGGCAGGAGCCCCCGGGGACAGGTGACGCACGGCCACAAAAGGGTCCCGATGGAGATGCGTGGGCAGCAGCCCCGTGGAGTCCCTGACGTGGAACCCGGCCGATGGTGTTTCCAGGGAATTTGGTGGGTGCCCGGGGTCCCAGCAGAGGCGGGGTCACGGATCCCCCCGGGACCATGCCCGTGGCAGGCACGTGGCCCTGGCCGTGCGAGTCGAGGGTTGCCCTGGTCATGACCAGGCGGGATAGCTGGGATTGGACGGAACGCTAGTGACCCCAGGACCTTTCTTGGAAATTGCTTTTTTCAACAGAGCCCTGACAGGTTTGTTTCCCTTTGCATCTGCAGCCACTAGCGAGTTCAAACCTAAACCTGGGTCATCCCGGCTCCTCCTGCATCAGGGTGCTGCATGCTGTGCTGGGACCGGGTGGCTGCGTGAGCTGTGCTCCAGCTGACCCTGAGGGTCCGCCTTCTCTGCCGGGCTCTCTGAGGGCTGGAAGTTTGCGCTTTCCCTGGGCGTCCTTGAATCCAGTTCCCGGTACCTGTGTAGCCACCCCACCGTGATCGGGAGTCTCCGGGCTTGGTTGGGCCTCTCCTGGCAGAGGTGACCTCTGAGGCCCGGCCCGGAAGGGTTTCCAGCTCCAGTTTGGGAGCTGCTTGGTGAGGCCCGGACCCTCCTGGCTTTCCCGGGGACGCTCCCGTTCCGCTGGGGACGACTCACCCCAGAGTGTTGGTGGTCACCCACCCAGGCGGCTGCCCAGACCTGCAGGGAGTCAGCCCAATGTGCTGTGGCTGCTGACCCCCACCCTGCCCCTCGGACTCACCTGTGTGCTCCTAGGAAAGAGCCAGAATACAGAAGGTCTGCAGCCTTGCAGTCTCCGGAGGAGGGCAGCATTCTTGCCAGGGTTGTCGAGAATCGAGGAGGATGGAGGTAAGAAAGTCCCTGGGGCTTGGGAGGACTCGTTCGATTGCAGTTTATGTGTAGGAAGGTGGGCGGGTCCTTTCCCAGGTGGACTTGACTCCAGCCGACCCCCCCCCCCCCACTGCCTGTCGGGGCTCTATGCTCCGACCTTGGATGTGGGCACACGCACCCCTGGAAGGGTGTGGCCTTTCTTGAACTTGATGGGATCTAAATTTGGACTGAGCTTTAACATTAGCTGCTTGGCTGAGCCATGGCATGTTTGGGGGGTTATTTTTAAGCCCTTCTGGAAGTTTTGTTCTTCCCAGAAAGGTCTGAACCAGCTGTCCCAGGAGAACCTACAAACAGGCCCCCCAAGCCTCTCTCGGACCCTGGCAGTGTGTGGGTGGCAGGCGCTCAGGTGGAGAGGCCCAGAAACAGCCAGGCCTTTCCTCCAGCTTCATTAGAACAGTTTTGATGTGTTAATGCCGCTTCGAAAGGTGCGGGAAGCAAGCGTTCCTGGCCCCGTCTCACACAGGAACTACAATGCAGATGATGTCGTGACCCCAGAGTATTTTTAGCTCCCTTCTCGCTCTTGGCCTGGGCCCGCGGGGATGTGTGGGACTCGCGGGGACCTGGGACTGATACGGACCTTCCAGGCAGTACAGTCCACTTGGTGTGTTTATTTAAAAAAAAACAAAAACAAAAAACAGCCCAGGCCCTGGCTTCTCAGAAGCCTGGTGTGTAGCTCCTGCGGGTCAGCTCGGGTGAGGTGCTCGGCCGCGCCAGGGCTCGTGACCCGCGACTCTGCGCGAGCAGATGGCGTTCATTATGACCTCTGCCGGAGCCGCCTCCCCTGGGGACCGTCTCCAACTGCTCTCCACCCCCCTCTGCAGTGGTACTAGATGTAGGAAGGAATCTCTGGTCTCGGTGCCTCCAAGTTTTATTCTCCCCACGTTCCCGCCCGCAGCCGTCACCCCCATGGCACATGCTGGGCCCCTGAGGCCCCCAGCTCCCCGAGTCCATCGGTCTGGAGACAGACCTTTGGCAGAAGACGGAAGGGAACGGGAAGCTAGGTCATACGCGGAGGAGGTGATCCCATCCCCCATGGTCTTCCGGACCTTGCCACCACCCTTCAAAGGTAGGACCCAGGGCCCCTCCCCAGGAGCTGGGGTACAGTGAGGGTGATGCTCTGGGGGCCTCCCGGCAGACCCCGCAGCCAGGCCCAGGGACCTGCCTCCCCCCAGACTCTGTCCCCACTGCAAAGTCCTCAGCTCTAAGCACAGGGTTGGGGCTTTAAGGCACTAAAGTTGGGGGGGGGGGGGCGTGCTCACAGCGACAGCCCCGGACTGGTCTCCCTCAGGTCCTGGGCCGCCCTCTGCCCACCTGGCTGTTCATCTTCTCCCCGCTTTCCGTCAGTTCCCTCCAGGTCCCAGCGATGCCTCCCAGAAGCCACAACCAAGGCCTGGGGCCATATCTATGCTGGGCCTTTTGGGGTCTGGGATCCCGCAGCCTAGCCTGGTGTCCAATTACAAGGAACCTTCCACCCTGTTTGCTTGGGGCAGGGCTGGGGGGCCGGGGGGGGGGGGGGCGAATACTCTGCAACCTGCATTATGTTTCGTACTTTACACGGTTTTTGTTAGCCCCCCACGTTGCAGAGCCACCCCCTTGCTTGCCTCCTTCCAGGTGACCATGCTCCTCGGCTGTTGCAACCAGAGGTTTCTCTCCCCGCAGGCCCAGGGGCCCCCTGCTAGTGAAGCCGGCACCGGCAAACGTGGGAACACACGGAAGGATTTCAGATGCGGGAAGCAAAGTTTGACAGAAGTGAACGGGGACAGTTGACCCCCCCCCGGGGCAGCCGACCCCCCCACGGCCTCAACACTTGTTAGAACGAGTTGTCAACACCACGGGCCCCTTTTGTCAGAACACCAAGGGTGACGGCAGGCAGAGGTGGTGTCGGGGACACAGCGTGAAAGCCGTGAGTGTGAGAAGGCCCCGCTCTGGGGGTGAGGGGTGGGGGGGGGGGCCGAGATGGGCACGCGGGTCAGGCCCCCGGCCCAGGAAGCCGCCATCCAGGCCGGCCCGAGGACCCTCCGCAGGGGCCAGGGTGAGGGGGCAGGACGCAGGGCCCCCCGTGATGTTCCCCTCCGGGCGACAGCGCCGGGCGGCGGGCCCCCGTCTAATTCCTCTCCTCCCGCCAGCGGCCAGGGGACGAGCCCGCCTTGGACAGCTTGCGCGTGCTCAGCTTCCTCCTCAGGGAGGAGAACCTGTCGCCCAGGACCCGGCGCAGCCCCGAGCCGTCTCGGCCGCAGGGCGGGTCCTGCCTGGGGGCCGGGAGCCGCCCCGTGAACATCTCCCACCCCGCCAGGGCCTCCACGGCGCCGTCCACCTGCGCCAGCTCCTCCTCCGTCACCTCCCGCTCCAGGGCCCGGATGCAGCGCTCCAGCCACCGGCCGTGCTCCCTGATGGCGTCCACGGCGGGGCCGCACCCGGACGGGCTGTCCGGGGCGGCCGGGGAGCCCAGCCCCTCCTCGGGCTCCGGCTCGGGGCCCGCGGAGAAGGTGTGGCTCCACGTGTCGGGGGTCAGGGGCTCCGACCCGCTGTCGCAGCTCAGGCCCGAGTCGGCGCTGCAGGGCAGAGTCTCGTCCGAGGCGGACGGCGCCCCTGCATCCGCGTCGGGCCGCGACCCGGCTCGAGTCCAGGCGTAAAGTCTCTGTGAGGGAGAGACACGGGCTGGGTGTCCGGGGCCCCGTCCCTCACCTCGTCCACGCGCTGCCCGCCCCCGTGCCCGCCAGGCGCCGTGTGGGGCCAGCGCCGGAGCAGTTAAATTCTACCGAGTGTGCACTTGACCTCAGGCTGCCTTCACAACAATAAATACCCAAAACTCCTCACTTTGTCCGTTTCTACTTCGTTGTACCCTGGCTTCCGCGCTGGCGGATGCGCCTCCCGCCCCCCCCCCCCATTCGTGTGCTAGGACGGGCGACACCACCACTACGGCCCATGCCTCTGTCCCCAGCAGGCGTGCACCGGCACAGAGCGCTCCCGGCCGGCCCCTCTCCCACCCCCAGGTCACCTCCCAGAGAGTCCCCGAGAGCTGTCCCCGCGGCCCCGTCCTCCTCCACCAACTCGCAGGGGAGGCGCCACCCAGGGCACAGCAGCTCCGGGGCGGAAGCCGCGGAAGGTTGTGCCCAATGACCAAGTGCCGAGCCACCGCCAGAGCCGAGTCTCCCTTCGCCTGTACGTCGCCGCCCGGCGGCACGCTCGCCCCGCCCCACCGCCGTGAGGACCCTCAGCGGGGCTGCCTGTGGGCTCCCCGCTCCAGGCGGGCAGGCCACTTCCTGGGGGCAGCTTGGGGGTTCTCCAAAGCGGGGTCCCCGAGCCGCAGCACCCCTGGGAGCCTGTGACACACGCAGGCCCTCCCCGTCTAGGGGCTGCCTGGCCAAGAAGCACCCCGGCGCCCCTCCCCCCCCCTCCCCCGCCAGGCACCCCGTCGCGGCCCGGGCTGCCTGCCTGCGGGGTTTTTCCCAGAACCGCAAACAGCTTCTGGCTTAAAACTTTTGGTTTTAAAATTAAGCCAGAGCTCTTCGGTGGCGAGGCCTTGATAAACACCGCGGGCCTCTGGAGGCTGAACTCAGAATCAAGTCGGAGGCCGCCGAGCAGGCTTCCCGCCGCGGAGGCTCCGCCCACAGGGCCCGCGCCGCGCCCCCGGCCGACAGCAGAGGGCAGCAGCGCCCGCGGCTCGCCCCAGACCGGGCAGGGCAGGAGAGGACCGCGTCCAGAGTGCGGCCGCCCCCTGCCAGGCCCGCTCGGGTCTCCTCCCGCGCGGACCCCAACCACCGGAGCCGGCGGCCCCGGCCGACGCAAGGGTGGCGTGGTGGGCGCGCCCGGCACCCACCCACCGTTCAGAGCTGGTATTTGCCATCTTTGCCTGAGAAGAGCCGTCCACCCTTTGTCCCCCCTGCGCCCCGACGGCCACGGCCACCGTTGCTGGGTGCGCGCCGCGGGCCAGGCTCGGGCGCCATACGCTGCCCAGCAGAGCAGGAAGGTGCCGGCCGGCAGGCACGCGGGTCTGTCTGCTCCCCTGGGGTTCTCACCCCCGGGACCCAACTATCCTCTGCTCTCGGGCTCCCGCGCCGGGCCCCAGACCAGGCGCTGGCCTGCTGCGGTCCCTGCCCCGGGGGCCCCCCCCTCAGAGCCGCTCACCTTGTACCTGTCGATGAGCTTGAAGCCCAGGACGTGCTGCAGCTTCCGCAGACATATGGGACAGAGGTCCAGGGGCCGCCGCAGGGCCTCCTCCAGGCTGAGCGCCCCCTGCATGATGCAGCCCAGCCAGCGGCAGCTCCCCAGGCCCAGCAGGTGACAGAGCTCGTGGCAGGTGACCTGCGGGGGAAGGCCCGCCACTGACCTTACAGCCGATCCCCGGGACGCCCCAGAGGGACCTAGGCCACCGGGAAGCGGTCCATCAGCCCTCCGCGTCCCGGTCCTGACAGCACGGGGCACAGACGGACGGCCCTGGGGCAACAGACAGACACGGGTTCGAATCTCTGCCGCTGCCCAGCCGAGTGACCTTAGGCAAAGGTCTTGGCAGCTCGGCCTTCGTTCCTACGCTCTCTACAGGGAAGCAGGGTGGTCCCGGTGAGGGCGGGACAGGGGACTCAGCGGCTGCCGGCTCACACCCCTGTGTCTGATCGCACATCCTTGGCACATTCCCCGAACTGGCCAGAGCCCCCAGTGCTTCTGCCCACTTCCTCCCTCCACCTGTGCGGTGACCCCCACACCCTGGCCTCCACGCCCACCTTGCAGCACTGGGCCAGCCCCAGGGCGCTGAAGCACAGTGTCTGGCCTGGGTCCTGCACTGGTGTCTCAGGGCCGTCGGCTGCCGCCTGGACCGGGACTGCCTCCGAGGCGCCAGGCCCCGGCTGCAGGAGCTCCCCCGAGAAACGGGCAAAGCTGCAAACGCCCACTTCTGGGGAGAGGTGGAGACACACGGGCTCACGGGTCACCTCACCCGGGGGGCGCAGGAGCAGAGCCCCCCCCCCACCCCACCCCTCAGGACGCACGGCTCCTGCAGGCCGGCCCCCCGGCAGCAGCCCAGGGCTGAGCAGGAAGGGCACGGCCGCACGTTCGAGGGCAGCGGTTTCCGTCCGCGTGCTCGCATCGTCTTCCCAGGGACGGGCCCCGCAAGCTCGGCCGAGGCGGGGGCTGCCGGGGCGGAGGCTCACCGTGCCCTGGCAGGAACTTGCCGAACGTGAAGCTCCAGGCCTCGCAGGGGTACAGGTCAGACAGCGTGAGGCCCAGCACGCACAGCGCGTCGCCCGGCTTGCTGCTCTTCAGGAAAGACAGGATCCCGTCTGTGGGGACAGAGGAGCCACAGGGCTCAGTGCCATCATTAGGGTCCCCAGAAAGAAGAGGCAGAGGGTCAGAGAGGTGTGAAGGTGCTGTGGTGGGTCGACAGAGACACAGGGCTCGGGGACCACGCCTGCAGCAGGACAGTGTCCTGAGGGCAGGGGACAAAGGCAGGGCCAGGAAGGTCCATGGCCAGGAGAGCGTCTCAGAGTGACAAACTTGCAGCCTGGGACACAGAAAGGGACATGCTACCATTAGAATGACACCTGTCCCAGCCAAGAGCTCCCTGTCAACCCTGAAAACTCAGTGCCAGCAGCTCCTGTCACACGCGCTGGGGATTGAGACCAGCCCTCCCGCCGAAGATAAACCAGATAAGCTGAGTGAAATACAAAACACGGCTTCTTAAAGCCTCCGAGGTGGGAGCGGAGTTGGCCACAGGGGACCAAGCGTGTCTTGGGAGGCGAAACAAGCTAAGTCTGATGACAATGGCAACTGGGTCACGGGGGTGCTCGTCCAGGCTCACAGGACCATTACACGCAAAACGGAGAATGTCAGTGCATGTGAATTTTGCCTCAGTAAACAGGATTTAAAAAAAAAAAAAAATCCGAAACCTGATGAGAACTTAGATCCAAGGACAGAACTGAAGCAGACTAGCTAAGACTGGGCCCCTTCAGAGATGCAGGAGGGTTGCAGACCCCGCTCCCAGGACCACGGACGGCCCAGAAAAGCTGTGTACCCACAGGGGCCTGGCAGAGGAAAAGCAGAGCCCCGCCCCCGGCACGAACCCGGCACGAACCCAGCACGAATCACATCACCCCAGGCCACTAGATCTCCAAAAAGGTAAACTAAGTTTTCAAGTAGTATGTCCAGCTAACGAGAAAAAATACCAAGACAGAATGAACGGAAAGACCACGAGGAGGCCACCAGCACGCACCAGACGGCAGAACCGAAAAGCACCTGTGTTTGTGGCTATCCATACTGAACTTAAATCTTAGCGGGAAACTGGTATTTTTAAGAAGTGATACTGCTGGGGGCACCTGGGTGGCTCCCTCGGTTGAGCGTCTGACGTCGGCTCAGGTCACGATCTCACGGTTCGTGAGTTCGAGCCCCGCGTGGGGCTCGGCGTGGGCAGCCTGTCAGTGTAGAGCCCACTTCAGATCCTCTGTCCCCCTCTCTCTGCCCCTCCCCCACTGGTGCGCACCTGTTCTCTCAAAAAATAAAAATAAGAAATGTTAAAAATATATATATTGCCGATTTGAGAAAGAACCCACCAGAAACACAGAAATGGAAAGGGGAGAACTAAAATTAGGAACTCGATGTACGGGCTTCACAGCCCAAGGAGAGAAAAGGCACAGAGGCGGAGCAGGGGGGCCCTGCGTGGAGCCGGAGGAGGGGCCGGAGGGGTTTCCCGCCACAGCTGAGACACCGGGCCCTCCAGCCCCAGTGCCA